GTAGTAGAGGCTAAAGTCTGGGATTGTGATGCTTCCTGCTTTGGCTTTCTTTTTCAGCATAACTTTGGCTATTTGGGGTCTTTTGTGGTTCCATACAAATTTTAGGATTGTTTGTTCTAGCTCTGAGAAGAATGCCTGTGCAATTTTGATTGGGATTGTACTGAATGTATAAATTGCTTTGGTTAGTACTAACATTTTAACAATATTCTTCTAATCCATGAGTATGAAATGTTTTTCTATTTCTTTGTGTCTTCTTCAATTTCCTTCATAAGTTTTCTATAGTTTTCAGCATACAAATCTTTTACCTCTTTGGTTAGGTTTATTCCTAGGTATTTTATGGTACTTGGTGCAATTGTAAATGGGATCAATTCCTTGATATCTCCGTTGCTTCATTATTGGTGTATAGAAATGCAACCAATTCCTGTACACTGATTTTATATCCTGCGACTTTGCTGAATTCATGTATCAGTTCTAGCAGCTTTTTGGTGGGATTTTTCGGGTTTTCCACGTAGAGTATCATGTCATCTGTGACAAGTTAAAGTTTGGCTGCTTTGCCAATTTGGATGCCTTTTATTACATTTTGTTGTCTGATTGCTGAGGCTAGAACTTCCAACACTATGTTAAACAACAGTGGTGAGGTGAGAGTGCACATCCTTGTCGTGTCCCTGATCTCAGGGGGAAAGCTCTCAATTTTTCTCCATTGAGGATATTAGCTGTGGGCTTTTCATATATGGCTTTTATGATGTTAAGGTAGGTTCCTTCTGTTCGGACTTTCTTGAGGGTTTTTATTAAGAAAGGATGCTGTATTTTGTCAAATGGTTTTTCTGAATCTATTGACAGGATCATATGGTTCTTATCCTTCCTTTTACTAATGTGATGTATCACATTGATTTGTGAATATTGAAACAGCCCTGCAGCCCAAGAATGAATCCCACTTGATCATGGTGAATAATTCTTTTAATACGCTGTTGAATTCGATTTGCTAGTATCTTGTTGAGATTTTCTGCATCCATGTTAATCAGGGATATTGGCCTGTAATTCTCCTTTTTTTTGTGGGGTCTCTGTCTGGTTTGGGAATCAAGGTAATGCTGGCTTCATAGAATCAGTCGAGAAGCTTTCCTTCCATTTCTATTTTTTGGAACAGCTTAAGAAGGATAAATGTTAACTCTGCTTTAACTCTGGTAGAATTACTCTGGGAAGCCATCTGGCCCAGGACTCTTTATTTGTTGGAAGATTTTTGAAAACTGATTCAACTTCTTCTAGACTAGTTATGGGTCTATTCAAGTTCTCTATTTCTTCCCATTTGAGTTTTGGTAGTGTGTGGATATCTAGGAATTTGTCCATTTCTTCCAGATTGTCCACTTTGTTGGCATACATTTTTTCATAGTATTCTCTGGTAATTGTTTGTATTTCTGTGGTGTTGGTTGTGATCTCTCTTTCATTCTTGTTTTATATATTTGGGTCCTCTCTTTTTTTCTTTTTGAGAAGTCTGACTAGGGGGTTATCAATTTTGTTTATTTTTTCAAAAAACCAGCTCTTAGTTTGATTGATCTGTTTAATGTTTTTGTTGTTGTTGTTGTTTTTTGGGTTTTTTTTTTTTTTTTTTTGGATTCTACATTGTTTATTTCTGCTATAGTCTTTATTATTTCTCTTTTTCTGCTGGCCTTGGGGTTTCTTTGCTGTTGTGCTTCTAGTTCCTTTAGGTGTGCTGTCAGATTTTGTATTGGCGATTTTTCTTGTT